GCCGCAGCTGACCCACCACCGCCAGTCCCAGCCTCTCGCAGCAGAAGCCACATCAGCGCTGCAAGCGCGGCCTGAAAACCAGCCGCCGGCTGACGCAACTCCAGCGCCTCCAGCCTCATCCCTCCCACCAGCACGCACACCTTCCTGTCTGCTGTTCCAGCGGATGATGTAACTCTATTCCACGTTGCAGCACAAAATCCAGGGCTTTACAAGTTACAGCATTAACAACTGTTTTCTGTCTAGTCCCAGACTTGTCCAGACAGCCCTGCCCAGAGCACAGGCTGCCTAGCCATCTCCCACATCCAGCTTCCCTTGACCTGGATTCTCCCTGTTCTCGGATGTTTGCAGTCTGCTGCAGACAGCAGATCAAAGGGATCTGCAGTGAAACTTTTAAGAGTGGCTTCACTTCCTCAGATTCTTTATCTCCTTTGTTTTCACTGTAGCCCAAACCCCTCTGCAAGGGCCAAGACTGCTGGCTTTGCTCTTCATTTATCTCCCATATCTCATTTACATTAATATTTAAATTAAGAGAATAATTAAACATTTTGGTTGGAAAAAGACCTTTAAAATCATTAAGTCCAACCGTAAGTCTACCAATACCAAGTCCACCACTAAACCATGCCCCTAAGTGCCACATCTACATGTCTTTTAAACCCCTACACCACTGTGGGGGTGGTGGGAGGTGTGACTCCTCCATTATCCTGGGTGGCCTGCTCCAATACCTGCTCACCCTTTCAAGTAAAGACAGTTTTCCTAATATCCAGTCTCAATCTCCCCTGGCACAGCTTCAGGCTATCTCCTCTTGGCCTATCACTTGTTACTTGGGAGAAGAGAGACCCACACCTCCCTCCATCCTCCTGTCAGGTATAGTTGTTATAGAGAGCGATAAGGTCCCCCCTGAGTCTTCTCTTCTCCAGTAAGAGCCCGCAGGTTTCTCAGCCCTTCCTTATCAGATTCGTGCTCTAGGCCCTTCACCAGCTCTGTTGCCCTTCTCTGTCTCCACTCCAGCACCTCAATGTATCTCTTGTAGTGAGGGGCCCAGGACCGGACACAGGATTCGAGGTGTGGCCTCACCAGTGCAGAGTACAGGAGGGTGGTCACTGCCCTGGTCCTGCTGGCCACACTATTTCTCATACAAGCCAGGATGCCGCTGGCCTTCTTGGCTACCTGGGCACAAGCTGGCTCGTGTTCAGCTTCGTCTATCTGCACCCCCAGGTCCTTTTCCATGAGCAGTCTCACAACTGTGGAGGAAGTCTCATGAAGAGTGAACAATATTCATGTGCTGGGGGTAGAGTTCAAGACACTCGCAAAACCCTCGAGAGTCTCGGGAATTAACAGAAGACCCAACTCAAAATTACCACTATCTCCACACAAGGGGAAACAAACCACCACCCAAAATAAATATAAGGTCATCACTTTGTTAAAAGACTATCTGGAGGTTTCGACTTTGCTAGAAGTGGATTTTGTTTTCATTACCATAGTGCACACAAACCCTGTGTATATAATTGCAGAATAAAGACAACATCACCACCAGAATGTTGGTCACTCACAAAGACACACAGAATGGTGATTAAAGATACATCACAGCTGATTTTTTACATTAAGCCAAGCCTTCATTTTGATTTTTTTTTCTCCACAGATAACAAGAAACAGTAATGCCCTCATTTTAGGCTCACCTGGCCAACTTTTAGCACATGCAACTTCTTTGAATGTGCTTCCAAATAAAAGGCAACAGGTTCTCCTCTATGCCTGCAGATGCTGAGGAGCTGCTTTTCTTTTTTTCAGACACTGAAACAGAGGAAGACTTGGTAAGAGAAAATGAACAGAAACTAAACTGGTACTTTCATTTGTCACATGAAACTAGTAGTCTTATGGAAGGATGCTTGTTAGTGGAAAGGGATCCTAGAGTTCCTACCTGGTCACCAGTTATTTACCTCAGTGTACAGCAAGTATAGTAGGAAGCGAGCAATGGAAAACTATGTTTTCAGATAGTTAAAGGTAGTGAACACCTTGAGTAATCTTAAAGAGAGTTCCATCTTCAAGAAGCAGCATGGGACCATCCTGATGACATTAAGTCTGTGCAGGCAGACATGCTACAGTCCACCTTCAGTCCTAGACAAAACTGCAACAAACATAGGTTTATCTCTGTGCAAATATTTCCACACACGCACCTAATTAAAACAAATAAAAAAATAAAAAGCACACAGAGTAGCTGCTTTAGACAAGATTACTAAGTGAGGAACACGGGGACACAAATTCATTTAAACAAGCACTAGTCCTCACTAAGAAACCTCAAGATAGGGTTACTTAGCATCTTTCAAGCATCTCCTTCCTCCTAACATCATCTCTCTACTCTTGCATGGATCAAATCTGGCTACTTTCTTCTACCACCTCTTTTCAGCACTGAGCAGCAAAACATCCAGTTCCACCAGCTGTTAAGGATAAAGATCACAGGACTGGCATCCCAGTTCTGCTTCAGCTTTCCTACAGCCTCCAAATGAACATTGTACAAGTGCCAAAGATCACTCAGAAAAAGCAGTCAAGACTGAATAATCCTTTCTAATAGCTATGGCTAGTAGAGTGACAACAATGCCACTAAGCAACAAGATGCAAATCAGGTACCTGGACACATGTTCATATCCAGGAGAAACTGTAGCCAGGGAAATGCAAGGATAGAATGAAAAGTCTGAAAAATGTAGACTGAAGTCAGCACTCTTGTTTAAATGTTTCAAGAGGAAGATCGACTACCACATTTAGTACCCTAGCCTTTCTTCCAGAACCTCTTACAGAAATTCTAGTTGCACTTTTCGGTCTAATTTTCTTTTTACTCCTACCCTCCATACCCAAATACCCATTGTGGAACCTCTTCAACAACTGCCTTCTTGCAACAGTTAAGTGAGCCAGCCACAACTTCCTAAGGAAAACTAGAAAATATTCACCAACTGTAGGTTTTATGTCTAAGCCCCTGTCCTATCATTTCTCCAAGAGCACCACTCGAAACAGTATTCATCAGCATCTCAACCTGATGGGAACCATGCATGCTCAGCTCAGCATTCCCTCCGGTTCCTTATTTTTAAGCCATTTGCCTTTATCTACCTTTCCTTTTTTTTTGTTCTCTGCCCCGACAATGTGCTGCTTTTGGGATTGGAGAGAAACAAGACGGCATTTAGTTTTTATAAAGGCTAAGCTAACACCCAAATCCTAATGGGGAAAATTAAAATTAAACACAACAGTAGAAAAGCAGTCTGTCAGATGCCCAGATAAAGTACATAGGCAGGACAAGAAAGCACTTAAAACTACCTGAATACTCTCCTGGGCTCCAGCTTTGTATGGCTCTGGGGCTGTTCACCTTCTCCATACCAATCATGATTTTACAGACTTGTACTGCACCCACCCTCTCATTCCTCCTTCTGCTGTTGTCCCTAAACAAATCTAGCACCAGAAGTGCACCAGCTTTGCCACCTCTCCTGCTCAAAGCTGCAGCTCCCACTCCCTCCCAAAAACCAGCTTTTTACCAATATTGCCAGTGATAATGGTAATATTCTGCTCAGACACCAACTGACCCACCTGTCTATACAATCACGTGAGTACTACCACCAGCAAGAGAGAACCACAGCAACTCCTTAGTCTGCACTGCCATTACTAAATCAGCATAGGATGCTCTTGTTGTTCTTGTATCAAGACTATTTCATATGTACAATCATTTCCACAGCTCTTCCTCCACCTCCCAAATTATCCTAAGCAGAGTACAGCATATTACTCAAGGGAGAGTCCAGAACTGCACAGAATACTCAAGTTTGAACAAAGCAAGGGTTTATCTAGTTTCATGATATGGTCTTTTAATCTGCATTTCATTCCTTACCTGATAATTTCTGCCATTCTATTTGCTTTTTGGCTTTCACTACACCTTGAACTGACTTTTCAGAGTATCATTCACAGTGACTCTCAGACGTTTTCTCCCCCGGATGCTGCAGGAAAACATAAAAAAGCATTGCATTCATATTCTTACTAATACAACATGCAACAAGAGCAGGTGAAAATTGCTGAGGCTAAACTGAAAGATGCTCATTCTGCCACTGAATACACTTCTTATAAGAACTCTGGCAAAGAGCAGCTTAGAAGAAGGTGCTAGAGCAAACAAATCAGTAAAGCACTTAAAAATTACTGACACAAACACAAAAAAGGTAACACTTTTTAAAGTGACTAAATATAAACATTTTAACACGGGGAAGAAAAACGCCCATTACTTTAACCCTTTATAAGTTGCTTCTCAGTGTCATCAAGTTTGAGAAGAAAAAGAAGGTAAACACTTCCAAGCATCCATCGCTGTCAGCACAGCCATAAGCATTTATGTGAGCATTTTAGTTATTCTTCATTTAAGAAATTAAAACTCCTCCTGACTTCATAGTCCAGAGACACTTGCCAAAAGACTTTTGGAGAACTGTCTAAGCTTTGCTCTTTAAGTCTCCTTTATCTACAGTTTTATTACCTCTTTCAGGGAGCTATCAGGTTTCTTAAGAACCCCTCTTATCTGTTCGTGTTATATCTCCAGTAAGGAAACAGCAAACAACACCGGCTTATCACCATGAGCCAGGTTGCAATCCAGATAATTGCTTTTATGTGTCACGCAAGTGTCAGGAGGGTTGGAATATTTTCTTTGGATATGGAGAAATCTTGTGAGTAGACACAGGAAATGAGCAAGAAAAAAGACACCTCAAGAGGGGCAACACGAAGAATAATGAGGCCAACGTAGGGGCCCAAACCGCAACTCTACTCTGCCACTATCTCCACGCAGTAGCAAAAAGCTCTGCGGCCGTCAAGGAGATCTGAACCAAAGCCTACGAGGCTCTGGGAAGCTGGCGAGGAGCAGGAGCGCAGGCAGCGTCCCTCAGCAGGCAGCGCTGCAGTGACTGCACGGAGGGGTTACGGCGTA